TAATAAGGAACCAGCAGATCAAGTATGCTTTTGGAATAATCCACCAATTTTTTAAAATTGAACACTATCTAAAGATTTGCATCGAAGCGTTTATTTTTGATAGTGATTTTAATCACTGTCAGATATCATTATACTTGATCCAACTATACCACGGCACCACTGTGCCGCGACCCCCCTGTGCTGGGTTTTTTCATTTTACGGTTACTTTTTATCATGTTATACTTACATTAGACACAATGTTATAAATGTGTATGTGTGAGTTAATTTATTTATAGTATCATTAAAGTGTAGTGTATATTAATATACAACCGATAGAGTAGGTAATTGATTTGACGCTATATTGTTTAAACCCAACTAAACGCTAAATTGTACATTCCGAAACTACAATCATATTATGTCAATTGCCACCGGAATTTCTGGTANTTTATTATGTCAATTGCCAACGGAATTTCTGCTAATCTTTTTCTTTTTTTTTGCCTTAATCCCAACTACTTGGGGTCGGCCACCCTCAACCTAAACTTCCATTTGACACGATCTCCCACATCTTCTACGCTCATATCAGCTGTCCTCATATCGCATTCAATAACATCCCTCGATCTCTTTTTTGGTCTTCCTCGACCTCTTCTTTCTTCAACATTCATTTCTATAACTTTTCTTACAGTTTCCGATTCTTCTCTCCTCATAACATGACTAAACAATCTAAGTATATTTTCTGTCATCTTATCCACGATTGACGCAACACCTATACTTCCTCTTATATGCTCGTTCCTTATTCTATCTTTTCTAGTCACTCCACTCATTCATCTAAGCATTTTCATCTCTGCTACACTCATTCTCTGCTCTACTTTCTTATCAACCGCCCAACACTCTGAACCATACATCATAGCTGGTCTCACTACATTGTTGTAGAATTTACCTTTTAGCCTCATTGGAATTCTTTTATCGCAAAAGACACCAGACGCTTCTCTCTACTTCAACCACCCGCACTTATACCTTTGTCTTACATTCTCGTCAATACCACCGCTCTTTTGCACTACTGATCCTAAATACTTAAAACTTTCTACCTCCCCATTCACACCTCGCCTATTGTCACTGATCTCCTCATTTCACCTACCTCATGTTCTCTTTTGTCAACCCAGCCAGAATCTCTGGTAATGATAAAATTAATTGTCATAAAGTGTCTAAAATTGCTCTTGTTCTAGTAAACTCAATGGTGGATAATAACTTTCATGAAATAAATCTTAAAAGGTCAAATAAAGTTATAACTGTATCTTCAATAACTTATATTGTTAAAATTAATAATGAAATAATTAAAGTAAACCCATTGCTACTATTTCAACTAATCGTTATTAAAAAAAAAACCAGCAGTGTCCCGGCACAGTATGTATAAATTGGGTGAAGTATAGATGATATGTAACAGTGATTCAAAATCATTATCAAAAAACAACGTCTTGATGCAAATCTGTAGATAGTGTTTAATTTTTAAATTTTAATAGATTATTACAAAAGCTACATGATCTTCTATTTCCTTATTTATATCCTAAATACAAGTTATATGCATTACTAGTGCAAAGTATGTAATCGATGAAGGATTTTTCCATTATAAAGTTATTTGACAAATGTATCAAACAAAATTTTTTTCAATTTTCTTATACATTTTCCCATTCTAAATTTTGATAGAATATATCTTCAAAAAAATACAATTTTCTTAATTCTCAATCTTTATTAGGCCTATAATTAAACAATAACATTTTTGAAAATAAACTGATTTGTAGTGGTAATACTGATATTTGTATCAATTGATAATGAGGCCACGTTAATGACGTTCAATACCACGTTAATCGTATTTATACTATAGTATAGGCTACATAGACAGTATTTTTATGATAAGAGATAATAAACTAGTTTATTAAAAAATGTAATTTTTTTTTTGTTACCGAGAAATAATTATTTTACCATAAGTGAGAAATTATGTCCTCATTAATTTAAATTAACAATCATTATATTTTCCCCCAAAACTACTGAAACCATTCCACTCAATCAATAATGTTATATGAATCACTTCTATTATTAATTTCTTTTAAGTATTATGCTTACATAACATTTTATTAAAATAAGGCTCTATTGAAGATTCAATGTAGGCTCATGTCTCTTAAAAAATTTAAGTTTTTAATGTTATAAAATTACGCTTTATAATTCATTTATTTTTTTCTAGAATGGAAATTTCTGAATTACATCAAGAGATTAACCGTTTGACTAGAGAGTTGGATCAGGCACAAACTGAAAAAATTCAGTCAGCCACTTATGGATTGAGTCTCCTTGAAGAAAAACAAACATTAACAAAACAATATGAAGAACTGGAGAATCTATATGAAAGTGTCAAACAAGAGTTAGATATAACACAAGAAGTAATTATTTATTTAAATTATTAATTGTTCATTACTTAATTATAGGCCTTTGAATTAAAATCCAAGTTATATTATGTTTTAATGTAAAAAATTTATTTTAATTATTGATTAACGGTGATAAATATTATTTTTTCGAAAATTTAATTCATTATATAGTCATTCTTCCTTAATAGAAAGATTAATAGTTGTTATTTAAAAGAAGGTTTATTAATTTATTTTATAATTAAATAATAATACCAGTTTTGGAAATAGTCATATAATATTAGAGACACAAAAACTAATCTCTATCATTATTACAATTTTAAAATTAATCATGACATAAATAATTAATAATTATAAAAAAATTATCTATTTGAAGTTTATATCCAAAATTTTACTGTATATAAAGATGATATGTGTATATATCTATACAATATATAGATATATTGGTTAATTTGTTATAAAATATTATAATTTATATTTTATATATGATTAATCAAATTAATTTTGGTTTTTAGGCCTTAAATAAGTTTCAAACTTCCCATAAAGTAACAACAAAATCTGGAATTGAACAAGAAGAATCACTTTTATATGAAACAGCAGCTTTAGAGTCATCGTTAAATACTACAATAATTGAACTAGAAAATGATACGAAACTGGTAATAATAATGATTGGTGGTTTTATTTTTAAATTTGATTTTTATATTTTTAAATATTAGTTGAGACAAGAGTTAGATAGAGTACGAGTTGAAAGAGATAGAGCTATACAAGACAATAATGATTTAATCAGACAAAGCAATGAATCTAATCATGAATGCAAACAGTTACGTTCCGAGTTACGTGAAATAAAGTCACGAGAAACTCATTTACTTTCTGACTATTCAGAGTTAGAAGAAGAAAATATTACTTTACAAAAACAGATTGCTCATTTAAAATCCTCACAAGTTAGTGAAATACTTTATTATCATTAAATAGTTTTACATATGAATATTGATTTCACATTCATTATTAAACAATAGGTTGAATTTGAGGGAGCTAAACATGAAATTCGCAGACTTCAAGAAAATGTGGAACTTTTATATTTACAAGTAGATGAGTTAGCAAAATTAAAAAAAATTGCAGAAAAACAAATGGAGGAAGCGCTGCAATCATTACAAGTAAGTAGATTACTTAATTTATTTTGAATAAAGATCATGCAATTTTTTAATATTTAAATCATCTACATAGTTCAGTTGAGAACTTACTGTATCTTGGTATATATCAGAATTTTATTCTATTATGTTGGGCTATGTAGGTTTTACTATCATCTTTATAATAAATAATAGCTTTTAAAAAAGGATGTCAAATATAAATAGTACATTAAAGTATAACTAATCAAAAATACCTGTATATTTTTAACTGTATTTATAAATGGTATTTGTATTTTATATTTAGGGTGAACGTGAAGCTAAATATGCATTAAAAAAAGAATTAGATCAGCGAATTAACAATGAATCAGTTTATAATCTCAGTAATTTAGCATTTAGTATACGAGGTAAATAAATATTATTTTTAATAAATAAATTATTTAGTATTATATAATAGTAGTATAAGTTGTGTTAGTTCTTTCTATCAATAAAACCAAATGGATAACAGGTATTTTAGCATGTTAAACAAAAAAATAATAATTTTGTTTCTTACTTTGATAAATAACAATACTAAAAAATCATGACTTGCCACAAGTCTAGAATACCTTGTAAAGCAATACAATCATAGAAATTTCAGAAAGTTCTATGATTTGACCTAAATTTTTAAAAATTAATTAAATCTATCAAATATTTAGATTATGTGAAGGAGATATTGAGTGTTAAAACTCCCTGTTATTATTGAAATTGAATTATATTAAAAATAATTGGGTGATAGTTAATATATATAAACCACCCTATAAATTAATAACACCTTTGGGCTATGAAAGAAGTAAACAAAGAAATGTTTTTATTTTCAACATTTTTTTAAATATATTTTTTTATTATTTGTTAAGAATAATGTAAATAATAAATAACTTTTAATATAAAGTTAAAAAGATCCATAAATCATGTGAGTGTATTGCTCATAATTCTTATCTTATAACTATTGCTAATTATAAGATATCTTATATAATAAAATGTCCGTTTAAAATAATTATAATACTTTTTAAAGGAATGAGTAATGATCAAAACATTAGCAGTGATGATGAAGAAGATTTACCAACTTTGAAAAAATTAGAAAACGACATTAGCTCAACTATGAATCTTCCAGAGAGTGGTAAACATGATTTATTTAGTGAAATTCATCTTAATGAATTAAAGAAATTAGAGAAACAATTAGAACAAGTTGAAAGTGAAAAAAGTTTACTGACTCAAAATCTTAAAGAGTCTCAATTAGCTTCTGACAAGTGTAAAAATGATTTAGAAAATTTAGCAATACGTATCTATAAATTAGGATCTCATATAAGAACTTTAGAGCACCTTGGCACTCAAACAAACAATAAATTAGTTAAAAACAAAGTATGTATAATTAATATTTCATTTGACAAAACATAATGTTATTTTAAAATATTTAGTCTGATAATGGTAAACCGAATTCAAGTATTGAAGACTATCAACAATGGTTTAGTTCAGCATCAAAAGAAGTTGATCAACTTCATTTGGAATTAGAAGACCTTGAAAGTCAACTAAAATCTTCAGATGAGACATTATCGCTTAAAGATGAATTGATTATCTTAAAAAATAAGGTACATTAAATTTAATTTTTAGTATAATAATTTTATTAAATATTATTTCTCTTTCAAGTTGATTGATAGAGAGCAAAAAACCATGGAGCTGGAATCAAATGTTCGTCTTTTAGGAGAATTAGCCACTGATGCTAGTGCATCTCTTGATAATGCTCAAAATGACCTTGTAGTTATAACAGATGAATTATCTCAGCTTGTCCATCAAGTATCTATTTTTAATGGGAAGTCAGTCCCATTAACTTCCAGTATGTTTTTCACTATATGGAAATTATAATAAATTAATAAATAAAATATTATTATTTTTACAGTTACTGTTAAATCAACTAAAGAAGTAGAAGAAAATGATCCTCGTTTAGATATTCTCAGGGCACGTTTAAAGTCTGATGTTTTTATTAAAGAATTAGAAAGTTTAACTGAAGCTACATTTGTAGCAAAAAGCTTGAGAACTGTTTTAGATCAAATAAAATTACTTAAAGAATCTTTTAATAATACGATAGAAAATGCTAAATCTGGTAATCATGAAAATAATGAAAGTAAGTTCTTCAAATTAATACTTAACTTTTGCATTATTTATTAAAATAATTAAATTTTAGATCGTAGAAATATTGTAATGGATAGCAATGATGAGCTGTTTGATCTGCGTGAACAAGTAATGAAACTTCAGTCACTCCTAGCTACTAAGAGAGAACAAATATCATCTCTAAGAATGGTATTAAAAACTAATAAGAACACTGCTGAAGTTGCTTTGAACAATTTGAAATCTAAGTATGATAATGAAAAAATGGTAGTAACTGATACAATGACTAAATTACGTAATGAGCTACGTGTACTTAAAGAAGACGCTGCTACATTTTCTAGTGAGAATTTTTTTTCTATTATTAATGTTTTCATTATTTAAAAAAAAAATTTTATAACTACAGGTTTACGAGCTATGTTTGCAGCTCGTTGTGAAGAACAAGCAACTCACATGGATGATTTGCAACGTCAATTGGCTGCTGCAGAAGAAGAAAAGAAAACTCTCAATCAATTATTAAGATTAGCAGTTCAACAAAAATTAATGGTAACTCAACGATTAGAAGAAATTGAAATGGATAGAGAATTAAAAAATGTACGTAGATCAATGGGTACTCCTAATAACTCTACTCCGTCAAAATCTTCTAAAAGATATAACCAGTCGCAGCGACGAGACTGGTAAATAATATTCATTTTTTTTTTTATATATAAAAATGTATCATACCACTTCTTCCTTGAAGTGTTATTTAGCTATCACAACAACCGTCCTAAATAAAATAATTAAATGAGTAAATTGATATTTCTTGACATTACCCATTGAGTCCTTAGAGCCATGTTTTTCGGTTTCCGTCCTATTACGAAAATCCCGGTTCTTAATTGTGTATTATACTGCCGTCCTATGGATTATTGTAATATTCATTTATCGTTTAATATTTTTCTTGATATTAAAATATTGTTTATATCATCGTTTTTTTATTATGATATTTTATCAGTATTAATAGCAATTTATTAGTAAAATTTTTCTTTTGCATTTTCGTAACATATTTCAAATGACCAAACATTGTGATTACAGATATTTTTTATTATACTACTTTTTTATCATTTTTTAAAATTATTAATTTTTGATGTTATTATTGATTTGATTTTATTCCTTGAAAGCTCAATATAAATTAACTTGGTGCCATAACTATTAACTGTCCAATAATGGTAGATATTTTATATTTATTATTTTCTATATACCGGCGGCAATACTCATTACTGAGAGATAACCTTCTATGTGCAATTATTTAAACTTGTTATATGTTATTTTGTTAATAACCAGCTGATAAGTAATGTTATAAAATTATTTATTTTTCGATTTTAAATCTTTTTTATTAATCATAAAAAATTTAGATTTGTTTTTTAACCAGTTTTTATATTGTTACTTTAATTTTAACGAAATATGGCTTAAAAAAATTGTTTTTACACTTGTTTAATTTAATTATTTTATAATATGTTATTAAACCACTTCTAGATAAGTCAAAAATTAAATTATTTTTTCTCAGCATCTAATATCTAACAAAACTTGATTTTATAAGAAAATTTAAAATCTCAAAAATTAAAATTTAATGTCAGTGTTGGTGCACAGTACTATAAACATAACAAATATTAAGACCTTTTATTTATAAAGAATTAAAATAGCAGTTGCTAATGCAACAAAACATAATTAGAATATTTAACATCATAATATATTTTTCGAGTAAACTACAGTCATTATATTTTGCTTTTTATTCTCAAAACATATTTTCTTAATTCATATTTTATTTATAATTTGTTGTGTACTTTCAAAATAATATTTTGTTACTATACAGAGTTGTCAAATATTAAGTTAAAATTAAATATTCTGAAGATAATATAATCTAACATATAAAAATTATGTAACTATACTGTATTATTAATATTTACTGAAATAAATAATAATATGATTTATTGATTTTCAACATTTTAAAATAATTTATTAATTTTCTTATAAAATCATTTTTATCCTGTATTGCTTTAATAAAATTTTCCAAGAAATTATTTTTAACAATTTTGAAAATTATTGATTATCAGTGTAATATGTATAATTGTAATTAGGGCTGAGCAAAAAATCCGAATTGAAAAAATACTGTCCATCCGTAATCGTAACATTATATAATTAAATATTACGGATTGACCTAAAAGGTGCTCAACTCTAGTTAAAACATTCTTATTGTGTTATATATTTTTTGTAAATTAATTTAGGTATATGCTACCGAGACTATATTTGTGAAACAATGTAGTTATTTGTAAGAAATGAGTACTTAATTATTTTTACTAATCTTATTTATAATTGATTATTTAAATTTTGTATTCGGTAATAGAATTTTAATTAATACTTAAAGTAGTATATAAAACGATTAATTAAGTTGTAATTTTGTTTTTATTTTATTAATGTCTAAATTCCATTGTTTGAGTTTAAGTACATTGTAGTTTTGAAGTGCATAAAATTTATAATTTTAAATTTTATATGTATGCTTAAACTTGACAGCTATTATAATGAACTATTGATTATCAAATTATAATTATCAATCATGTCACTTGGCGTTATCCTTCACTCGATTACTTTTGTGTTGTTTGGACTGATATTGTAAGAGTCTAGTATGTCTGATATTTGTTTCCCTAAATCTACTATCTAAAAAATAATAATTAAATATATAAGACATATAATATGGCTATATAATTTAATGATTCATAACCAAACAACAAATATTAATAAATAATATGTAATAGATTAATACAATTTAGTTAGTACAATATAAATTTTTAAAGCTTTTTGTATCCAATCTGCAATTATCTTTTATATTTTTAAAATCATTTTATACTAAATATTTAAAAAATTAAAATCAAGTTCATGTTTTAAAAATACACTTACATCTTTATCAAAAGTTGCATTAGTTAGACATTTTTTCTGAAATAATTGAAAATACTCTATGGATTCTTCTATTTTGCCTTGTTTTAGTATAACAATGATTAAATTGATTAAAGTTTCCACATTGTTTGAATCTAATTCTAAAGATCGCCGATAAGCTTTCTCAGCATTTTTCATGTCATTCATATAATTCAAAGCTACTGAGAATAATTAATAAATATAATAATAACAGATAGAAAACATTCAAGATGGGTCTAATAAATTACTTACATCCTATTAACATAAATGTATTAGCATTATTAGCATTTATTTTAGCAGAATTTGTTAGAAAGATGAAAGCTGAAACATATTGTCTAGTATAAATATGAACGAGTCCCAAATTATATAACGCAATCCAATTAAATGAATGTAAATACACAGCCCGTTTTAAACAACTGATTGCCTAAATATAAATATACAACAATATATGTGCCAATTTAGGTTAATATATGTAGTATTCAATTTTAATAGTGAGTAAATGCAATGGCTTATAGCAGGTATCAAGGCAGAGACCGCTGACCCACTATACTACTTTGCTACAGAACAGTGGAACGGTGATTATTGAAAATGCCTCAAACACGATTATTAACAATCAACATTTTTTATTATTATTTTAATATTAGATTAATTAAAAATAAATATATTTTTAGCTTCAATATGAAACTTAGAAGGTATTAATTTTACAATGACGTTTTAATTATTATAATTTTTTTTTTGTGTTTCTTACCACTTTTTCTCAACTCTCATCCAACCGATTTCTTTCAACGATACGTTAAAAGGTCACAATCGTATCTAGTCGAAGACACTACTCTCAATAATTGAAAATTTTTCCTTCGTTCTCCGTAAATGGAGAAAATCTCCAAAAAAATTTCAATTTTAAAAATCAGTAATTTTTGACATTTTTAAAACTTTTTAACTAAAAACTATTATAACTTTTTGAAAAATGGATAAATAAAAACAAATGTTTTAATTAATAATAAGAGCTTTTGCAGTTAATTATTAATTTCAAATGTGTTAATAATTTATATTTATTTTGCATTACAAAATTATGTAAATTAACGGATTATTATATCCATTAATGTAAATTCAATGGATGATTTGGATTTCCTATATTTTTTCAATCGTGTTAATCTGGATAACAGAATAATCCAGATTTCTTGCTCAGTTCTACTTTGTATAATAAATGAAATTCAAGGGAAAAAACAATGGAATTAGAATATATTTTATTCCTCTTGATATTAATGTATAAATAATACAAATTTTAAATATATAAATTTTAAATATGTAAATAATACATAATTCTAAGCTAGTATAATAAGTTAAAGAGTTCTTACCGCTACGTACTTGTGTTTTCCAAAAAAGCACATGCCAATATTATTCCACATTTCAGAACTCTCAGATAAATCTGTTATGGCTTTTGTATACTTAAATAATGCCTCATCGTAACCACATTGCCTCTAAAAAAAATATTATATACATTTTTTTTTTTTTATAATTCGTGTATAAAGTATACGGATAATGAAGGAGCCTAAGTAAATTTGATCAATCTTTCATAAGAATTGAAAAAATAAATTTTTTTTTCTCAACATCTAAAAATATGTTATATCTGCCTTTGATAACTACCTGCATTTCGGCGGCAATAGTTAGAAGTGCTTTTGGATTTTCTGGGTCTTGACATAATGAGTTACCAAGAACATTAAATGCTTGATAATACTCTCGTTGTTTCATGTACAATAATCCCAGGTCAACAGATAAATTTGTATTAAACGGGAATAACCTTATAAACGATGAAAATATAAATAATTATTTGTATTTTCATGATCTGCTTAAGCAAACCATTAAACAAGTTTAAGACGTGTTTATATTGCTTAAAATCATTACACAGTGCGACCCTTTAAGAATGATGTTCCCTACTTTTTTTATGTTAAATAATGTTTTTTTTATAAAAATGTACAAATTAAAATTTGATTTATTTGTATAAACCATAATAAATATTAAATATATTGTAAAGAAAAATTATTTCTAAGGGCACCTTTTAAAAGTTAAATTTTATTTTTTACTATTAAATTAAGAATAGTCTAAATAAAATTTTGATTGGTCGATAACCAGTTTTGTATTATTTAATGAAAAAATGGAAGTATCATTATTAAAAAATCACTTCTTATATATATCTTTAAATACTTAAAAAAATATTCTTGTCGTGTTAATACAATTGTGATTACAATTACAATTACCAACCAATTGCGATGAAGATTTGACGAGTTGTGGGTTGTAGCATTTTTAAGGGAGCTAATTGTGGTAACTTTATAGTTAACGCTAGGTAGAGATGTAAAAAAAAGTTTACTTCAAGTTTTCTAAAAAAAAATATTTCTTTACATCTTTATTAATAGGAGTGTAATTGATTTTTTTTTATTTTTAACAAAAAAGGGTATTTTTTAACCTACAATCGAATGAATTAAAATTTATTTGGGCATGGAAATATTTTTAATTTATTATTTCTACAGCAGCACATTCTTAAATACCCCTTTGGTTGTTGGGCTTACGTTCATAGAAGCACATTGGTGGATTGATTTTAGACGGGTTGGAATATGGTCCTTTCCCAGGACCATATCACATGCCACCATAACTTGTGAGTACTGACAATTATAGTCGATATTTTGTAATTTTAAATTTGTTTTTCAATAATTTAGTCTTACTTGGTTGCAGATATTAAAATACCAATTGCATTTTTCAAATTATTTTCCATTGCATATATAGTTGCTAATTTTTTATAACCTTCTTGATTTCTGCTTAGTTGTATAGTACGTTGAAAATATTCTTTTGCTTTATCCCATTCCCCCAAATTCATATAGCATATACCTGAAATACGATTTCGTAATAAATTATAAAAAAGTTGTTATTATATAATTTTGCACTGACCAAGATTATAATAAATTTTGGTATCAGGCTCTTTACATATTTTGTCCGCTTCCAAAAACATATTTCTTGCTTCAATATTTTTCCCCAAAAGTAAACTATAATTAGTAAACTATTTTAATAACTATAATTCATAGTAATTTGAGTATTATAATTATATTTTTCAAACTAATTTTACAGGCTAGTAGCGTACACATAAAATCTGAGGAGTCTCATCCCCTCTCAGAAAATGTTATATTTATATTATACATAGTAAAAAAATGTTTTTAAAATGTTTAAACATATTTTAAAATTTCAATTTATTTGCTTCGATGCGAAGCTGAGAAGGTATTAATTTTACTACAATGCGTTTTTAAAAAAAAATTTTTTTGTGTGTGTTACCACTTTTTCTCAGTTCTCACCGAACCGATTTCTTTCAGCGATACGTCAAAAGATCACTAATCATATCTAGTCGAAGACATTATCCTAGAAAATTGAAAAAATTTTATCGTTCTGTGTAAATGTAGATGGGAAATCTCCAAAAAAATTACAAATTTAAAAGTCGTTAAATTTTGACATTTTTTCAATTTTTTTTTTACTTAAAACTGCCATAACTATTTTAAAAATGATCAAATCAATACAATTTTTTTTTAAATGGATACATGAGGTATTTACTTATCATTTTTTATAAATGTGACCCTTTACTTGCCCACAGGAGGGGAGTTAAAAATGACAACTTGTTTACAAAAAATTATCTTTTAAAAGTGTTTTGGAAATACTGACATTTTTATATATATCTTAAATTAAAGAAACTGTGCTGGTTTTTTATTAACTTTGATGTCCGTTTTCACCATGAAAACAAAATACAGTCCGAAATAAATAAATTTTTTTTCCATAATAAAGTATATTACATTAGCTTTAATTTAAGATACATATAAAAGTGTCAATATTTCCGGAACACTTTCAAAAGTTAATTTTTCGAGTAATAGTTGTCATTTTAAATCCCTCCCTGTGGGCAGGTAAAGAGTCAAATTTATAAAAAAAATATATTAAATGATAGGTAAAGACATTATGCATCTATAAAAAGAAATGATAAAGATTTGATCATTTTTAAAATAGTTATGGAAGTTTTAAGTAAAAAAAAATATTCGCAAAAATAAATATTTAATTAAGTGGTTGTGACACAACAACTGTAACTGTAAAATTTCTGTATAATATATTATGTGTTGGTGCTTAATAATAAGTTGATATAGCTCGGCAAACATTTTTTTTATAATTTTACTATATATCTTTAGTTATATAATAAAATACTTTTTTGATTTCATAGTTTAATCGGTAGTGCAATAACAAATAATCATTTATCATTTACACAAAAATGCTTTAATTCGCTATATTTTATCTTTTCCAGATATCTGTATAAATACGGTTTGACTTCAACGTTATAAATAAAAACCCAGCACAGGGGGGTCGCGGCACAGTGGTGACGTGGCATAGTTGGATCAAGTAAATGATATCTGACAGTGATTAAAATCACTATCAAAAATAAACGCTTCGATGCAAATCTTTAGATAGTGTTTAATTTTAAAAAAATTGGTGTTTTATTCCAAAAGCTACTTGATCTGCTGGTTCCTTATTAATATCTCGATAAAGATAAAGTATGGTAAATGAAACAGGGTTTATTAAAAAATATTATTTGTCATAAAAAAATTGTGTGGATCCATAAACTTTTCAATAAGTTATAGCATTATAAAGTTAAATATAATATAAATAATAAAATCGAGAATTTTCACACGAAAAAAGCATTCGGTAGCCATTTTCGCCGTGAAGACAAGTCCAGAGGTCAAATTTTTTTTTTTCAAATTAAAGTATATTACATTAGCTTTAATTTAAGATATATATAAAAGTGTCAGACCTTCCGGAACATTTTCAAAAGTTAAGTTGAAAAAGTTAATTTTTTGTGAAAAAGTTGTCATTTTAAATCCCCCCCTGTGGGCAGGTTAAGTGTCAGATTTACAAAAAAAATATACCAAATGATAAGTAAAGACATCAAGCATCTATATAAAAAAAAATTATATTGATATGTTCATTTTTGAAAAAGTTAGAGCATTATTAAGTTAAAAATATAAAAAAAAATTATTTTACAAAAATCGTAATTTTTTATTAACTTTGATGTCAACTTTCACCACGAAGACAAGTCCAGAGGTCAAATTTTTTTTTTTCAAATTAAAGTATATTACATTAGCTTTAATTTAAGATATATATAAAAGTGTCAGACCTTCCGGAACATTTTCAAAAGTTAAGTTGAAAAAGTTAATTTTTTGTGAAAAAGTTGTCATTTTAAATCCCCCCCTGTGGGCAGGTTAAGTGTCAGATTTACAAAAAAAATATACCAAATGATAGGTAAAGACATCAAGCATCTATATAAAAAAAAATTATATTGATATGTTCATTTTTGAAAAAGTTACGGCAGTTTTTAGTAAAAAAAATTGTAAAAATGTCGAAAATTAACGATTTTTAAATTTGTAATTTTTTTGGATAATTATCTCATTTATCATTATTCCGATGGTCCGATTTCAAAAAAAAAGTATGATGAATGAAAGAAGTATATAAATAGTACTTTTCATGAAAAATCGTATTGATTCATACATTTTTCAAAAAGTTATATAAATATAAAGTTAAAAATGTAAAGTATAAAATCGAGAATTTTCACACAAAAATTAGCATACGGTAGTCATTTTCACCGAAAAGAAAAAATAAAGTCCAAATTTTTTTTTTTATGATAAAATATATTACATTAGCTTTAATTGAATATATATATATATAATAGTCAGTATTTCCGGAACACTTTCAAAAGTTAAGTTAAAAAAGTAAATTTTTTGTGAAAATGTTGTCATTTTGAATCCCCCTTGTGGCCGGTTATTAAGGGTCAGATTTATAAATTTGTAATTTTTTTGGAGATTTTCCCCATCTACGGGGAACGAGGGAAATTTTTCAATTTTTAAGGGTAATGTTTTCAACGTATCGTTAAAAAAAATCGGTTCGGTGAGAGCTGAAAAGCAGTGGTAACAGACACAACAAAAAAATTAAAAAAAAAATACATTATAGTAAAATGCTTCGCAACAAAGCTAAAAGAAATTTTTTTTAAAAATTCTTTTTTATATTTTTAACTTTATAATGCTATAACTTTTTAAAAAATGTATTTTTCAATACAATTTTTTTATGATAAATACTACTTATATACCTCTTTCATTCGACATACTTTTTTTTTAATCGAACCATTTCCCTTCATATAGGGGTGGTTCAAAACTTAAAAATGCGTACAGAAAGTAGAACTTTACAACTTATTTTTAATGAAAATATATTTATTGATTATTCATACGTAACCAAATAATCAAACATAAATAATTGTTATATTAATTAAAAGGATTTTGTTATTATTTAGACCATATGCGAAACTCTAATTGCAGATTTGAAAGCGGTGCAAAAATGGGTTAAGAAAAGTATAATTTGGTCTTTGATAAAAATTCCTTGTAGACTAGTAAATTTATTTATAAATAACAAACAATTTTTTTTTAAGTATTGCATCAAGACCTTTAACTTTTGTATATGTTTGCCATAAGATTAATAACTACTTTATAATTTCTCCGTAAAAATTATAATTATTAAATATCAATTTCATACTACATTTAATTGTTATAATAAATATTTATACATATATTACACTTATAAATCATAAAACTTGTAATCAGGATATAATTAAGGAAATAGGAGATCATGTTGCTTTTGTAATTTTTTAAAATTAAACAGTATGTACAGAATTGCATCCAAGTGTTTTTTATGATAGTGATTTTAATGACTGTCAGATTAAATCTATACTATGACATGTTCCCACTGTACCGAGACCCCACTATTCTGGGTTTTTTTCTAGATTAGAGTATTATTCTGATTGATGGCGGATTTTGTTATGCACTATTCTGTGAACGGTTAAAACAAACAAGATGCAAGCTATATTTATGTGCAAAATGATTAATATCACTTCCTAGCAATTGTTAAAAAAACTATTACAGTTAACTTTTATCAATTAAATCAATTGTACTAGTGAAATTTATTACATCATTCATAATCTAACTTAACGTTTTTTACTAGAGTACGATGTCATATTTTCAACAACGTTATGTACTTTTATGTTCAACTTTTTGTAGATGTTACCAGTTAATAATATCCATTTGCAATTAAATCATTGCTATTAGAAAAGTTAACTTGGAAATTATCTTATAATAAACATTTTTGTGAACATGTATAAAAATCTTTGTCAACAATATTAATTATAAATAGATATTGGCTGGCGAAATTCTTTGGGTTATCTTTATAAGATTACAAATATATCCATAGTGCATCACTTAGCGTCTATTTGAATAACATAAAATGCACAGATGTAGACGAATCCGAATGAATAAAATCTAATCTTCCAGTAGTTCCTGTGGTGATTTTTCAACATTTTTTGTTGGGGTGTACCAAAGAATAAAATTTACTTGGAATGCGTAACAGAAACTTGACCTACATAATAAATAATGTAGATATATAATGTAATAATATCGTTATCAGTGGAAGGTGTAGATCCCCTTGAACTTTTTGATAATCTGCCAGTGATTAGTGATAATTAAATCAATACACGTATCAAATAATAATTAATCAATATTAATCAATTATATTTATCTATATACAGACTTTAAGTTTTTAAGCAGTTTTAACCGAATTTTAATATTAATAATAAATATTATAATTATTAATCAGTGAATTATAACTGCCAAAAGAAATAGTAGTGTAATGTTTTATAGACATCACGAAATTACCCTAAATATGATATCTTAAAATCATCGCATAGATTTAAATACAATAAATTATAAATATAACATTTGTAAAGACAGATTAAATGAACCTACTTTATTTATAAATAGTTTTAGAATTAAAAAATATTGTATAAAAAATGAACTTTGAAAAATAGTTAGCAAAATATTTACCATGAACGTGCCATTTGTTTCACTCCTTCAACACATGTTGGATTTAAAAGGAAATATTTATTAAAACACCAATATGAGTTTTTAATTTTACCCTCTTCTCGATAAATCAACCCCTATAATAAATAAAATAGTATTTGTTACATCAACAAATACATAAATTTTGTTATACTTATTATATATTATTTATTTATCAAAATTAAATTTTATAAACTAAAAATTAAGATTTTTAACAATTAAGAAAGATAAAATTTTAATGTTAAGATTATAATTTAAATAATTGAAGAGTGAATGTGTCAAACGTTCTATGTGCCAAAAAATTGAAAAATTGTTTTATTTCTGATTTATGTTTTATGAGCCAAAGGTCACAATCTTGTATGTGTTTCAAGTGTCAATTAAATTTTTTACTTGTACAAAATTGCGTTCATAGATTGTATTTGTTCTGTGAGACATGCCCTTTGTTACCTGTACGTTCTAAGTGCCTTGGGCGAATATAATAGTTTGACGATTACAATATTATAATATAGTCCGTTATATTTCAAAATAACTAATACTGGTGTTGTTGTATTCGTTAAGTTTTCTTTTTCATTTGTTTAATTGTGTTATTATGGATACTGAAAGTATACATATTTTACGAAGTGGTAAAAAAAGAAGAAATGATCAGACTAAAAAAAGAATTAGTGGAAAATCGTATGCGACCAGGAAAAGCAATAATACAATTCAGGAAAGCGTCAACTTAGTTGTTATAACTTTGGAATACATCTCGGTGACAGCAATACAGCCTTTATGTATATGTGGGATGAAAGTATTGCTTCTCGTGGAAGCTCAGAAATCGCTTCTTTTCTTTTTCAAGTTATTAACAAAAACGAAAATACGATAAATCGCAAAAAACTAATTATATGGTCAGACAACTGTGCTGGCCAAAATAAAAATAAAACGTTAGTAGTTTTGATGTTATATTTAATAAATATGGGGATATTTGATGAGATTATACAAAAATTTTTGATAAGTGGCCACTCTCTCTTGGCTTGTGCTCGTGATTTCGCTATTATCAAAAAGAGACGCGGAGTTTTTCAAAATTTCACTCCTTCTGATTTACAAGAAATGGTTAGAGCAGCGAAGTTGATAAATCCATTTCGAGTTATTCCGATGGATGAAAACAACTTTTTTTCATTTAAAGACATTGCTAACAATTTTTTTAACCAAGTTTCCAATGTTCGATGATTAAAGTTTCATTTTTAACTCCCAAAAAAATCTATTATAAAAAAACATTTTCAGATGAAGAACTTTGGAAAGATTTTAACGTTTTTAAAAGAAATGCTACTATAGACCAACTTAAAAATCAGACATTTATACCTATACCGAAACCCACATTGTCGTCAGAGATGAAAAAAGATTTGTTGACCATGATTCCTTTTTTACCTGATAAGCACAGAAACTTCTATAAAAATATAACGTCATGAATTAATTTTTTTTGCTATTTATTATGATGTTGCTATGTTCTAATTATGTTTAATCTAGATTTTTTTTTAAATTATTATTAGGTTTGTTAATTTATTTTTCAATTTGTGATACTCAAGAAAGCTACTGTTTTCTTTTCTTGTTACATTTTTATATGAAGAAAAAATTTTATTTTACGTTTTGAGATTTACTGACAATGTCATGTTAGTTTAAGAGTATTTTTTATTTAAGTTTGTACATTTATTTTTCAATTTGTGATACTCAAAAAAAGTGTTGATTTTTTTACATATTTTATAAAAATATATATGAAGTCTTAATAAAATAAAGAATGATTTTCTGTTATCTATAATAAAATATTGGTACTTGGAACGATAATATTATCACATTATTTGAAACTTGGAACTTTAATATTATAATACTTGGCACTTGGAACTGTCATTAGCAAATGTTTAATTTATACTAATATGAAATGACAAAATAAAATAATAGAAATTTACGAGGCTATTAATATAGTGTAAATATAGCATAACATATATTTTTATACAAAATTATAAGAAAATTTTTAATTTGTGATGTTTTTTGTGTTTTCTGAACAAATATTTTTTTGGCACATAGAACGTTTGACACATTCACTCTTCAATTATATTTTATAATAATTATTATTGATGCGCACTTTTAACATCTATTTAGGAAAATAAAAAATAAAAAATTTCATTGATGTCTTACGGAAATTGATATTTTTGAAGTACAAACTTAAACCTTACCTATGAAATTGACTCATAAATTTTCAAAACATTACAGGTAATATACAAATCAATAAGAAATATTTAAAAAAACTCATAAACCCATTTTTGTGAATTGTTATATACAAATGATGAAGATCTAATATTGTGCCGTGATATTTCATGATACTTGAGCTAGTAATTGGAGACAATCAATGTTATTATCATCAGTTGTTTTTTGAAAATTTAGTGTTAGCTAACCTAAAAATTCAATCGACTAGATGATAATTTTGTAGCTTAGTCAATGGCAGTTCGTGGGTGCTGGTGGAGGGGGTGTGACATTAAATATAATACCGCTAGTTACGGGTATAAAAAATTTTCAAATTAAATATAATAAAATAAATTCAATAAGACATATTATTATTTTAAAGGTCGCAGTAGAAAAAAGAAATGAAAATAATAGCGATTATACTATTATAGCAAACGATAACAACAAACGTACACGTAGTTAATTCTAAAAATAAATTACCGATATAGTAATATACGAATATTTTACTGTATGGACGACGCTGCCGGTCGTCCAAACACTGCTTGTGGTGCATGCGTACCCGCATATACTGAAGGAAACAACTTTAATGTTCGCACACGACAAATGTATTATAACTGTTTTACTAATTAAAAATTTAGAATTAAGAATATACAATTAATTTTCTTCTTTTAATTAGTTTTAGTAGGGGTGCGATCGTCCCAGCCACGAGCCGCCACTAAGCTTAGCGAACTAATTTAAAAATGCTTTGCAATAATATACTTCAGTCACATTTAATATTTTTTTATGTATTTTATGCAAGTTAAAAAAGAAAAATTATTGTGATTTCAGCTCTTTTGTTTAAAAAAATATATATATATTAAATGTACTTATGGTTCTTATTGTATATAAATAATATAATTAAAAAAATTGATTTTAAATTAAATATTGCATTCCACAACATATTTTTCTCAACAGAAACTGATACAGTGGTAGTCAAATGGGATAAACCCCAATTTACATACTCTTATTGACATTTTTGTATAATTTCATGACATATATTTTATATTTTGGAAATTTTATATGGGATTAATCAATTTAAGTTATTGAGCATAATTAATATGAAAAAAATGATTAATCCTACATATTTGAGAGATTAAATATTATTAGTAAATTCAAAGGGGCTTTATTTTATAACAAATTAAATGTTTGAAATAGGATTAATATGGAGAAAGCCAAGTTCAACAACCAATCAAGTTATTAATAACTAAAGATGTGCCGAGTACACGACCTTCCCTTTTAGGACTTCGCTTTTATTTGGTACTCAGTTTGTAAGCATATTCTTGTTTGGCTTTTACTCGGTATTTTTCCTGGCCTTACCTTAAAAAATTATTATTTCATATTTTTAATCATAGTTTATAGTACTAGCTCAGTACTTTGTTATTATTATAATATCTACAATCATTTAAGTTTCAATTATGAGTAGATAAGAATGTAATTTTACTTTCCGGGAATTACAAAAATGATTTATATCTACGAATGAGTCCCAAAGATATAACAAACCCAGTAGCATTTATTTCAATCATTTAATTAAAATTTTTTTAAAATAATTATTGCCCTTTTCTACTTAATTTTAAACATATTTTTTTATTATTTATCACTAATAAGAAAATAAATAAAAAAAATTTTTTTAGCATTTTTCTTAGAAACAATTTTAATGGTCGACAACAATTTTAGAATTAGTACTTATTGAGTCATAAGCATTTTAATAAATGCAGAAGGGGGTGTAGAAACGGGTGAAGTATAGGTACATCAGTATAGGTACATCAGTATAGGTTGCACTCAACGAGCTACGTACCTAATTTAAATATTAAAATTTTGTAACTCAATAAATACCCGTTTTAAAATTGTTATTGATCAATAAAAATGTTATGTAAAAAAAGGCTATTTCGAAATTTTGAAAAAATATGCTTTGTACGTAGTATAACAATGTAGTAATTATTTCAATGAAATGATAATTGGATTCGTCTAATCTTTGTTGCTCACTTATATAATCCTACGTTAATATTTTGATTTTAACTTAAATAAGAGAATGTTAAAAATTTGACTACTCTGCTTTTACTCGGTATTAAGTACATGAATTTACTAATATCAATATTCTAATATTATTAGAGGAACACTTCTAATAATAACATATTGATATGAATAAGTAATGAATATTATTAGAAATAAAAATCTATGGAATATGGGGGCACAGATCCCATATGATTTTTATAACAAAGGTTTTTTATTTCTTTCCATGGTGAAATTATTTGATCGTCATTGACTGGCTAGTTTTCTACGTAGAAAACTTAATGATAGTTGATGAATGTATAAATAAGTTACCAGTATGTAAAATGCAAATTCACTGTTATCTTTAAAATTGTATAACTCTTGTTCTATTAACAATTTACACAGTTCTAATTCTCGTTGAACATATCTGCTGTATATTATCCAGTCATTTTTTTCTTGGATACTGTAAACTTGTAATACCGTATCTGTATTTGTGTACAATAGATAATACAAAAATGATATAATCATATGTGTAATAAATTCAAACTATACTCACGTATTTATTATAAACGGTCATAACATGCATTATTTACAAATGATAATTACCTGTATTTTCATAGGTAGTAGCTCCATTATTTATATTTTCATACATAAGTGCTCTTCAATTAGAAGAATGTTATATACAGATTTAATGTTGTTACTTTTTAACTTTTTACGATAAATAAATAGCTATTGTTAAATTAAGAGAGGTTTTAGAACATATTGTTTGTTTATTTACATACAATAAAAATATGTTGCTAAGCAACATAATATAGAAAAGACTGATGGAAATAAAAAAAGGTAGCACAATGGTGTTGCGGTACAGTATCGACGTGGCATAGTTGGGACAACTATAGATGATATCTGACAGTGATTAAAATCACTATTATAAGAAACGCTTCGATGCAAATCTCTAGATAATGTTTAATTTTAAGAAATTGGTAGATTATTTCAAAAACAACAACACTTATTCCCATAATTTTATCCCGATTTATAATTATAATATATGAATACATAATAATTACAGTAATTAAATTTAGTATGAAATTGATATTCAATAATATAATATTGTAATTTTTACGGAGATATTATAAAAATAAAAAGGAGTTGTATATTCATATACTTTTAAAGCGTATAAAAATTTAAAGAGATTGATGCAATACTTTTTAATAAAAAAATTTTGTTACTTATGAATAAATACACTAGACTAAAAGGAACTTTCATCAGAAACAAAAATATACTTTTCTAAATAAACTTTCGCGATGTTTTCAAATGTGCAATTAAACTTTTTCTATTACTTCTAAGTTTTAATATTATTACTTATTATTAAAAAATAAGTATTTACATATAAAAAAAAATAATTAAGAACAAAAAAAATTTGTTTTTAATTAATACTGATTTTGATTATTATGTTAAAATAAGGAAAATGACATATTTAACTTATTTTTTTAATCGTTTAAAGTTGATTTTTGTGAATGTTTATAATAATAAAAAATTTATTTATTTTACCATAACTTTTAGCTCAATTGGCAAGTTTGAAATTGACATCATTAAATAGAAAATTTTATGAGAATTAAAAAAATTGTACCGTTAAGATTAATATACAGTTAGGAAGTTTTATAATTACTATTTATAGTAAATTTATCAGAGTAGCTCAATATTTTTTTGCATTTTCATCGTAATAGATAACTGAAATAGAAATAATAGTAATCATTACCTAGTAACTTTTGGTGTTTAAAAAGATTCTACAATTGAAATATTCAGAACTTAATTAATTTTAATGATTTACTTTAACTAAATGAACCAATCAAAACAAAGTTGTTAAAAAGATTTACTCAATTGAGCGTATTATAAAATTTGATTATAATTGTAAAAATCCATTGTTAATTCAGGAGAAACTAACCATCATTTTTTTTATAAATGATTTATATAGCAACATGTTACCAACAAATTTAGAATATTAGTCTAGTAGTAGCACAAACAAATAGAGTAAAAAAATTAATTAAATTACAAAATAAAATGTTTTAATTTTATATTTGAAACCTATCATATCAAATTATATCAAACTTGATTCGTCAATAAATACTTTGAAAACATTAGAAATTAATGATTTTAATTGTCTGTATGGAGAACATGGGATAAGTAGCTGTTTAATTGATAGATTAGAATTTTTTTCAATTTTTGAGGATAATATCTTCTACTAGATACGAATTGTAGTCATTTGACGTATCGTTGAAAAAAGTAGGTCAAGTTAGAGCAGAGAAAATAAATTATAGTCACAAAAAAATATCTTCTCAGCTTAGCATCGAAGCTAAAACATGAAATATAGTAAAATAATTGTAATATGAATAAGAAATTTCTTCTCGCGAGAGGCGATTACAATGATAGGATCCTTGATCTTATTGAAGTTATTGAATCTAAATGAAATAAAAATTAAAGCAGTTGAAAATTTATTCTAACTTAAAAAGAATTAAGAAAAAATGCAAAATATTCATTGCCATACGCGGGTTGAAGCCTTGTAACCCAAGCGTGTAAAACACAAGTTTGACCGACTCGGTAACCGTACGTCGCAAACGTCGACTGAAAAAATTGGCTATTTAAGCTAGTTCAAATTTCAAAGTTATTTTGCTCGACTATAAAAAAGCAAAAAAAATGTAAACAAGTTTAACTTTCTACGCTATATCAATTTTATTTATATAATATTTATGAAAATCTATGTATTCCCCTAGTCAGGTATTTTAAAATAAAATAAAATACAAAACCCAGAATTTTAACACAAAAATAGCTTATTTTTGAATACGGTAGTCATTTTTACTATGAAGACAAATCCAGAGGTCAAACTTTTTTTTTTCAAATTAAAGCATATTACATAAGCTTTAATTTAAGATATATAAAAGCGTCAGTATTTCTGGAATACTTTCAAAAATTAAATTGAAAATGTCCTAGTTTCAATAAGCATGTTTAAAGTTTTGACCCCCCTTGTATAAAGGGGTACGATCCGATTTACAAAAAAAGCGTGTCAGATGAAAGGGGTATATAAAAATTTATTATAAAAAAATAATAAAATTGATCTATACATTTTTCCAAAAGTTATAGCAATATAAATTTAATAATATAAAATATAAAATTGAGAATTTTTTCACGGAAATCGTACGTTTTTCTTAACCTTTGATGTCCGTTTTCACCACGAAGACAAGTCCAGAGGTTAAGTTTTTTTTTTCAATTAAATTATATTACATAAGTTTTAATTTAAGATTTTAGATATATATAAAAGTGTCAGTCTTTTCGGAACATTTTCAAAAGTTAAGTTGAAAAGTTGTACTTTCTATACGCATTTTTAAAGGTTCAAACCCCCTCTGTAAAAAGAGAAATGGTCCGATTTAAAAAAAAAGTATGTCGAATGAAAGAAGTATATATAAAATATTTATCATTAAAGAATAAAATTGTTTCATGCATTTTTTAAAAAGTTATAGCAACATAATGTTAAAAAATGTAAAATATAATATTAAGTATATTTTTACAAAAATAGCATATTTATGCGTATGGTGTCATTTTCACCATGAAGACAAGTCCAGAGGTCAAATTTTTTTTCTTCAAATTTTAGTATATTACATTAGCTTTAATTTAAGGTATATATAAAAGTGTCAGTCTTTCCGGAACATTTTCAAAAGTTAATTTTTTGTAAAAAAGTTACCATTTTGAAACCCTTCTGTGGGCTTGTAAAGGGTCAAATGTTCACTAAAATGATAGGTAAATAACTAAGGTATCTATAAAAAAAAAAAATTATATTGATTCGGTCATTTTTAAAAAAATTATGGCAATTTTAAGTAAAAAAAATTGAAAAAATGTCGAAAATTAGCGATTTTTTTAAAATTGTAATTTTTTGGGGGATTCCACTCATTTACGGGGAACGAGGGAATTTTTTTCAATTTTTGAGGGTAATGTCTTCGACTAGATACGATTTAGGATCATTTGACGAATTGTTAATCAAAATCGGTCTAGCGAGAGCAGAGATTGAGCGTTCACACACACTAACAAAAAAAAAAACCCCATCATAGTAAAATTAATACCTTCTCAGCTTCACATCTAAGCTAAAAAATAGGAAATTACAATATCAAATTAAACAAGAACTATTCAAAGAAAAAAAATTTTATTTGTATGAACTAATTGTATAGATATATTCATTATTAAATGTTAGTACAATCATTTGAAACTAACAACTATAAATTAAATAATATAATACAATATTTAAACAATCTTAAAATTTAGAATTGGCGATTTTGAATCATTTTTTTTTATTTAATACAAAAATAAAACAATTTTTTAATTTAATTAAAAAAATCTTATGTGTTGAATAATCGGTTATTTTGTAGATCACATTATAACAGCAACAAATTTAAAATTAACATGTTTTATAAGTTATGTGAAGAGATCATAATATACGCAAAATAATTTTTTTATACAATAACATTAATTGCTTCAATAATTAGGTATAATGTATTTATTTATCAGACCTTCACATATTTAATTAAGTTGATATTATCAATCATCAAAACAAATCTAGTTTTACAAGAAAAATAAAGGCAATATACAAAGAACACAGGATTTGAAGTCTTTAAATAATTTATCTATGAAATAATATTTAAACATAGACATATATAAAACTTTAGTCAATATCAAACAATTAAAAGAATCTTTATAGAGATGTCAGATAATATATTAATAAAAATAAAGGCTCATTTACATTGCGTCAACTGAATATATATAAATTTCTTGATGAAATAAAATTCTACTTACACACTTATACAGAAAATTGTAATCGTCAAAAATTTGTAATTTTACATAGTTTTTTTTTGTTGGTGATGTGGCCACTTCAAGTACTTATGCCATTAGCAATTGTTATATTATTTGAGATTGGTGACCAACCATTAGCAGTTCTAAACAACTTAGAAATAAAGATTTTATTAAAATTAAAATCTTTGAACTTATTTTTCATTAATTAACATTTCATAGTTACTTGTAAAATGGTGGCAGTGATACGCACAATATACGAAGGTCATTTGAGCAATTCATCTATATTAGTAAAGGCACAAGCTCCCATACTGGAAGCAGCCATAAGCTTGACTAGCTCATAAGCATGACCAACAGTCATTTCAAGAGGAGGTCTTCGAGGTAAATTACTTGACTCTAAAATTGTCAAGATTAAACAATGAAAACTGGATTTAAATTAGATTAACTACTATTATTAATAATTTAAAAATTACTAGTTTAATTTTCATATTGGAAAAAAAATTATTAGAGAAATAACTAATTTATGATTTAAATAAAATATAGTTTTTGACTAAAAAACTAATAAATAATGTATTAACTTTTCCTAGGTAAATATTTTGTATATAATTTACCTAAAATTGCAGAATTTAATGCAGCACATACACTATCTCTCTGTGAAGATTCTAGTTGCCAACCAACTGGACTATTCCAAGGATTTGAATAAGCTAATAAACTAAACGCATCCTAAAATAATTGGAAAAAAAAAATGAAGAAAAGATAACAAAGGTAGTTATTACAATCATACTTGTAACATTTTTTTATTAGTTTCATTACGTCCTAATTCTTGTCTTAATTGTAAACTAAGTAGGAATAATTCTCGACCAAATTCGAGCATTTTTTCAACACCAGGTTTGCTTCCACCACAAACTTTTTTGGTAGGTTGATGGAATTCTGGTTGATCTATTTCTAAATTTTTTATAGTTCACATATTATATTATTACATTTGTTTAAAATTTAATCTATAAGATAATATATACCCATTGATTCTTCATTTCCATTATTACTAATAATTCTTGAATTTCCATTACTAAGATTTTCACAAGAATGGCCATTATGGTAACCATTAGAACTGTAATCTCCATCTGGGTAATGATTATTGTGATGTCCATTAATACTTTCTGATGTCATTATATAATCTGTAGTCTGACTATCTTCATTACAATCCATTTTTTCTATTGAGTAGTCATTTAATTTTGAGTTTCCATTTTTTATTGTTTTGATGGTTGTTGCATCTGATGAGCCATTAAGTATTAAATTTACTGAATTCATTTCATTTATTTCTGACGTTAAAGAATTTGACAACTTTTGACATTTTATACTACTGTTAGAAAAAATTGACCACATTTAATATTTCATATGTTGTTGAATATAAACTTTATTTATTAATAATAATCTCCATACCCATTAGTTTGTATAGATGTGGGACTACGATTAGACGGTAATGTACGTTTGGGTGATGGTCGATTAGTAGTTTGAACTTCAATATTTTCATGGGAATAAGGTGCTACTTCAGAGTCAGTACCATTTACCATTTCAACAAACTGGCGACATTTTAATTTAAATAAAAGATTACGATTAGACTCAAGTAGTCCAGGGTATAGTTTATTAGTCATTTCAATAGCTTCTCCCATTCGTCCAGTGGAAACCAATTTTAATATTTCTGAAATTAATAATTAATCATTAATTTTAATAATAAACAAAACTTTTTGTTTGTATAATACGTAAACGAATAATTATATTCCATAGATTATTTATAAACTATAGAATAAAAAACTTAAAATTATAATGGAGACATGGAAAAAAAATAGTTATAATTGGAACTCAATCTAATATTATTGGATAGCGTAAAAATAATATGTAATGATATTAAATATACATTTATTGCACATAAAATATATAAATGAGCATAGTTATATTACTCTACGAAATAATGCTTGTGAGAAAGTTATCCCAATTTTTATTAAAAACTGAAAGAGAGAAAAGTATTACAAAATGCCTATTGATAAAATTAGTGATAGACCGAAATAGTTAAATAGAAATAGACTAAATATCCAAATTTTTTTTTAATAGACAAAAAGTTAGACCTTTTTCAAGTTGATATTCATATTATACATATTTATTATTTTTTTTTTAAATATTGAATTATAATAATTATTAAATATTGACTAGATTTGAATAAGTAGTTCATAAAGATAATAATTTCAAAAAAAAAAAAAAAAGACTATATATAGAAGTTATAGGAGCTTCCCAAAAAAAAAAAAAAATTATCATTAATATAATTCATTATTTTAACTATTTGATCAAGTTTTATATGAGCAATTAGTTATAAATGACATTAAATATAAATTACTTGCAAAATTTTAGCCAAATAGTTTCAAGATATTCAGTTTATTCTTTAAAAAACTATCATACACTGTCTTACACTACCAGCCTATATTTAAGTGTTTTAACTTTTAAAATTTTCTTAAATTTAAACTAGAAAAATAAGCATGCTGTCTTTTATAAAAATTATTTTGATACCTTTCTAGAGTGTAAAAGAAGAACCTAAAAAATAACTATTATAATAGTTAACTTAGTAATTATTTTAGGAGAATTGGAGAGTTCAACAATTAAATAATCACCTTGAGTATATATATAGTTAACTATCAGAAAAGAATCAAATCCTAAGATTTGAAGACAATGGCTCAATTCATATTTTATAAAACAAATTGTTTACTCATAACTTCATAAAATTGGTTAAATTATAGCTGATGACAAAAAAAAAAAAAAAATTGGATTATCAACTCAATGCTAAATTACTTTGTCGATTTTTGATAGAAGTAATTTCTTCTTCAAATGATTGATCTGTTTGAGATATAAATGCTTCTGCAGTAGCACAAAATCCTTGGTGTACTAAGTAGGTTGAAACCATTCTAAAATCAATATTTAAGTTTAAATAACTTAGCAAAAATAAAAACTGTGATATATTTAATAAGTAATTAATTACATTAAAAAATTTATTTTTATACAATATATTATATAATATTGTATTTACAATATGTAATTGTATCAATATTCTCTCAGTTAATGCAAATAATATAATAAAAATAATGTTTTCTTCACTGGAAATTTTTTCTCCATTTATTGACCCTTAAAAGTTAATAAATGTAAGCAACATTTTGGTTATTTACAAGAATTGAAAAAACTGTTTAATTAATTTTTTTTTTTAGATATTTGGTTTAACATAGATTATCACATATTTTTTTGAAAAAAAAAACAAAAATATTGACCAAGATCAAATTGAAACAAATTAAACATCATTAATGTCAATTTTTGTAATGACAATAAAACAAATTAGGGTAATTTTTATTAGAATGATTTTTTAAAAAATTTTATTTATCAGAAATGTACACACATATTACATTTTTACAACTGTCACTTATACCCTTTTACCTATTAAGGCTTGATATAGAATACATTTATTTTGCATACTTATGAAAATTTGTCTGGCACTGTGAATATGGATAAGAAAATGGATAACTCTGAATAGTAGTTTGTGTTTGGTTTCTAAGCTCCTTCATCATTTCTTCTATTTTAAAAACAAATGGCCATTGCCCGAAGTTGGCATCAACCACTTCTCCGGGTGTTTGTAACCCAACAGTTGGAAATAAATTTGGCTAATAATAAAATATTTATTTTTGCATATAATATTAGAAAATAAGGAAATTAAATACACATTAATTAAATATATACGAACAGGAAGATCAGTGAATGCTGTTCCTAGATGTGTACCATTTTTTGTGTAAAAACATTTATTGTGCACTAGATCTACTCCACAGCCAATAACATCACCAGTAGTAAATGTTGGCCCATATGGTTGTCCTGTACCACTTGAGCAAAATGAATGTCCATCATCACCATGATAACCATACGAATGTTTATCCCAACCTATTTTTCAGAACTTATATAATATTGTTCTGAGCTCTCAATTTTATATATTCTATAATAAAGTTCTACAGTAAACTAAATATTTAATTTTTTCTCTATTTTAATAGAAGAATATAAAATATTTTAAATTATTTATTTTTGAGGATATAAAATGAATGACATTATTATATATTTACCAGGTAATCGGTTCATATTAACACCTTGAGCGGAAAGTCCGACACCCATGTAGCCATCACGGCCTTTTGACACAATTTTAACTTCAAAATAATATAATCCACAAGAGGCTGGAATTGGGTGTGTAGCTCGTACACTAGCAGCATCTTTATGAGTTTTTCCATGACCTACAATGTAAATTAATTATTTATCTAACTTCTTAGCTTTTAACCTTACAATTTGTACATAAGTTAGGAATTTTAATTTTTCTTAATTTATCGCAAAAAAAGGAAAAGTAGTTGTCAAAATCTTCTAAGAAGTTAAAAGATTATATTTTAATACTTCTGAAATACTACAATAAACTTACTGCTTTAAATTTAATTACACTTTTTTACTCTTTTATCAATTGAAAATTGAATTATTTAAAAAATCTGTCATATTTATGAAGTTGACTTATTTACTCGTGAATTTTTAGAGCATACTTTTTTTTTTTTTTGAATTATGTTTTAAAATAAAATGACTGAATAATAAAAATTTGATATTTGATTCTTATTTACTTTAATGTTATAATTTTCTTTATGTTTTGTTAACAATATTATTTAAAAAAATATTAAAAATAAAAATATTTATATTCAAAAAAGTTAATTTTTACTTTTTAAGTAAAATTAAAACTATATTAAAAATATTATTAATTTAAAAAACTAAAAAATATTACTAATTTAAAAAACTAAAAAATATTACTCATTTAAAAAACTAAAAAATATTAAAAATATTAAACTCAAAGCCACAAAAATTTAATGAAAAGTCGCGGATACGTATTTCAGAAACAATGTTACCATTATCAACGCTAAACACATACTGAATTTTACTTTTTATTTTACTAATATAATTAATATGGGAATATAAAATTAGGAAGTTAAATCTATTAGACTTAAGACAAGGGTAATTAAACAGTTTGTATGGTGAGCCAGATGGTCTTTGAGGACTAGAAAAAAAACCAAATATAGTAAATAAATTGATTAAAATTAATAATAAACATCATATAAACATAATATGATCTAATTTCAACACATAGAAAGATGTATTTTAATAAAAAAACATGAATCTGTATGTCCAACGATTTTTTTTGGTACTTTCGGTATCTGATAAGTAAATCATACATTAATTATTTTTTGGACAATTCAGTAAATTTATCTGAATATACAAAATCAACAATAGAAAGTAAAAATTTTCATGGACCAATTTTTACCATCCAAGGGCCAAATTTTAAAATAGTAAAATTTGGAATATGGTGTGTTTATTGCCAATCCCCAATTTAAAGCAATTAATGTTAAACAATTATAGTAGGATAAAAGGCAATTTATTTCAATGTAATTTTAATTCAAATAGTAACAGTAACAAAAATTTTTTTAAATACTAAACATTTAATTAGACTTATTTATACAGGTTTAATATCTATAAAATGTGTTTATATAAATAAAGACTACACTAAAAGTATTTCATTGTCCTCATATTGATAAATTTTCATAACTAATGTCAAGGAAATTCCTAGTATAATGGTAAGAGCTGACAAAAATAGTCACATCTCTATATAAATTGTATTAAGTTGAATACATTTAGTTTATTTATGACAAATCTAGATTCTTTGTTATCAGTCATAAACTTCAAAAATTGTTTATTTACACAATTTTAGGTAAATTTGTAGTATTCACAATCTTTAAGAATAAAATCGAAAATATTTATAACTTAATATAATATAAAATAGTATATAACTATTATTTTACTGATTAATATCGAAAATAAAACTAGAATTTTGACTAAAAATGTGGTAATTTTGTGACGATTCAGAAAATAATCTCTGTAGTACTAATTCTATACATGATTGTTCACGACCTCGGGGAGATTAACTGAAATTGAATGAGTACAAAAATGTCAAAATATTTTTGGGCATCCCGTGTCAATACTAAAACAGTAAGCCAGTGCGCGCAAAACAAAACAATGATCAGCTGATTCTTTGTTACCCACATAGGTATAGTACAACAACGATGATGACTACGAGGAACTGTTACTCCGCAATACATAAATACGCGCGCGCACACATATTCGCAGTAAATATATTTTATTTGTTTTTGCGCATCCTACAATAGTGACACGGGATTAGACGATATGAAATAAAAAATAATGGGCTATTACATAAGAAGGAACTCGCCTTTATAATGGACACGTATGTTGTTCTGGGACAGTCCAAGATTTGTGAATTTGTCTTTGGAGTTCCAGCTCCTAGGCAACGGTGTGTCGTTTTCATCCACCATTGGGTATAAATTCTTAAGCCTTTCTTCACCTTGTTTCCCAAAATGACTACTACTGGTTTTAGCGCCGCTACAATCAGGGCTAACGACGACCGTGTTACTGGTGTTAGGCGGACTAGTCGCCATTTCCGCAACAATAGTTGCGATTGGCAGCCCAAAAATATATCAGTGAATGTGTAAATTAAAACTGCTGCGATTTTACTCTTGATATAATTATGTTATTAAAATAATATTGATTATATTGTGGCGTTTTTCTAACGCTGTCAAAACTGCGAGCTGCTAATACCACCTCCACAACCAACGACAACAATACTTATCATGACGACGGACCGTAGCAATCAGTGATCATCACACGCGCACTCACAACTCGACCAACCAGCACTGATGAAATAGAAACACTGCTGACTGCTGCTAGCTACTAGGCCCAGAACAGTCGGGAGGTGACGATTTTTCGCGTTTCAGTCGTTGATGGTCACAGCACATAGATAGCGACACATGTTATCACAGCTGACGGACCATGAGAGGCGCGTGCGTCTCTTCACCGTTAGCCCCCTTCGCCAAACTTGATCACCGCGTGTTCCCTTCACTGCCGAATTCCCCGCCACGTCGTAGTTTGCCACCCGCGGAAGGCCGACCTACATATACGCTAAGCAATAAAACGGCTTCGCAGATGGACGATTTGACCTCAATTCTCTTATACCAAATACTTAGTAAACTCAAATTTGTCCATGCACTGTACAATGTGCACAATGCACGCAATGTAATATTTTTGTGTTATATATTATGTTATAGGAACGTGCCTACCAACTCACTAATAAACCGCGTAGTTACCTGAAACGAATTACCGTTGGTTAAATTCATCTTTAACATTCTACTTCATTGCATCCCATTTTTTGTCTAACTTAAATTTAACACGATAAAAATGAATCAACTTTTTCGGGATTATTAATAGGTAGTTAGGAGACATTTTTTTAAGGCATTTTCTATAGTTATTTTGTGACCTTTATCCTTTGACTTTCAAATAAATCGGAATCGTTTTTACGAAATTTAGGACAAATATATCAATATTACAAAAGCCTTTAATTAAGATATCCATACCTACCCCATACCCTCGTTTAAGTTTTTCTTTATAAAGAATTATTCAGGAATACATGAAGTAAATTTTAATTGTTATACTAATTATTTATAAATTTAAATCTATGATCGGTCAACACAATTTATTTATAATTTATATTATTAAGTTATTTTTTGCTTCTATTAAAGGATAAATTTAATTAAATAAAATAAAAGTAAAATAATTTGTTGTTAGAAAATTAGGCAGTTAAATGATATTAAATGATCATTAATCACTAGTTCCTACTGCTTAATGTAAAATTTGTAGTTCTTATTATCAGAAATAGTATAAGATAAAAATATGTGCAGCACAGCACTTTCTGTTATTACTATTATAATTAGTTGAATCTTTGATTAATAATAATTAAAAAATTATGCTTAGTAAAAAGAAAATGCAAAATTGTAACAAAAAAAAAAAAACAAGTAGGTATTTTATTGTTAAGAATAGAAAAGGTCCAAATGAAATACAAGTATTTTACGTCCCTACCTAATTTGTTGACATTACATAAACTTAACATGTTAATGTTAACATAAATGTTTGTATATATTGTTAATAATAGCTATTTCGTTTTATTGCAAAATAATGTATTGTTCTAATAACTGAAAAAGTTTACTCTTTAAATGTCTTAAATATGATGATTATTAGATACTTTTTTAATTATTTTTTATAAAAAAATGTGGTTAACGATTAAAAATGACACGAAATTATTACTGATTGATCTTTTCACAACACATTTTTATGATTATCTTATTATTGAATTGTTTATAAAACAAAGTTTCTAATTAAATGAACCTCATTTTAAAATATTCAAATATTACAATACATTTTACAAAGGTATATATTATTTAGATGAGGTATACATAATTGCGTATTAGTACACCCAAAGAAAAACCTCAATCAAAATTGAAAGAGAAATTTTATCAAGGGTTTATGATAATGTTTTATTAATACGAACAAAATAACTATTCTTATAAATAATTATTGTTCAAGACAAGAAAAAAAAATATCATATTGATAAATATATCATTGATTCAATAGTAATGATATATTTATCAAATTGAACAATGAATTTATTATATAGATCGAGGTTTTTCTCTGGGTGTATTACACTTATATGTATAACACAAACTATGTAAACATTTTCATATAGTTTGTGATTTTTATGTTTATTGATTATTTTTAGTGTATATGATTGGGATATTTAATAATTGAAAAGGTAACTACAAAATACCGATATAAATAGCGTATTACCTTTGAGATTATCATTAAACTCATTGAAAAATATTAGATTTTATTAAACATTTTCAAAACCCTTAATTATATACTTGGTATTAAAAACTATTATGTTCTATTATTAAAATATTTTTGTTGATAATTACAATTATTAATGCCACAATAAAACTATTTAAATATTAAAGTAATTATTATATCATGTATTATATTGATATATCGATTTATTTTTAATAGTGATAATTTAATGTTTATATCTCAGATTTTAAACTTATAAGAAAAGATATTTTAGCTTCGAAGCAAAAGTAAAGTTATTGGTTTTACATATATGTGCTCATATTTTTAATTGAGTTATCGCATTTTCTCAGTTTTTAATGTACTAATTCAGTTGTATATTATATTTACAGAATCCGAATTACATGAGTTGAAAAAAGTAGTCATAGATTGAAAAAAATTTACTAAAATTATTTTATAAAAAAAATTTTAATAAACAAACATATAGGTTTAATTAATATAAAAGGCAGGAAACTTAAATTATTATTGTGAATTATTTTATTTCTTTTTCTTTTACCTCGCTTTTATCCCAATTACTACCGCCCTGAAGTAATACCTCACGGTAGTTCCAGGGCGGTCCACAGTTGCGCCGGTCGGAGTAAAAAAAAAAAAAAATCCTAATTACTTTGGGTTGGCTATATTTATGTAAGCTTCCATTAGGCACGACTTTCCCCTCATCATCTATGCCATATCAGCCACCCTCATATCGCATTCAATAACATTTCTCAATCTCTTGCATGATCTTTCTATATCTCTTCTTTCTTTAACATTAATTTCCATAACTGTTCTTACAGCTTCCGATTCTTCTCTCTTCATTACATGACCAAACCATCTAAGTTTATTTTTTTTCATATTATCTACGATACACCTATACTCCCTCTTATATGTTCGTTCCTTATCCTATCTTCTCTAGTCACTCCACTCATTCATCTAAGCATTATCATTTCTTCTCTATTCTCATGTCAGCCGCCCAACACTCTGAATTATATATTTTAGCTAGTCTCACTACAGTCTTATAGAACTTGCCTTTCTGCCTCATTAAAATTCTCTTATCGCATAACACACCAGATGCTTCTCTCCACTTCACACACCAGCACTTAATTCTACATCTTCGTCAATACTAAAGTTCTTTTGCATAACTGAATAATTTTAATTGTTACTGCTTTTAATTAAAAAACAGTTCCATTTGTTCTGTATTGTACAGAAACATTCGCTTGCGTTTCATATTGACAGCTATCACCCTTTTAGCTACAATCAGGCATGAATTTAAGGAAGTCCCGGGGGACATAATTCACAGCCCGTTGATATAGGTATGAGCGACTCAAATGTAATAAGCCCATTTTATAGGATAGGTCCATCAGCAAATGTAGCTCCATAATCGCAATAAAAAAAAAATGAGTAAAATATTTCTCTTATTCCAATAATAAAATTTAAAAAAAATAGTAGATTATACTTTTTAAATGTCTGAATTCATAAACTAAACGGATAGGCTCCCTATTCCTCTTCTAGCTACGTTAGAGATAAATTCCAGTTCATATTAAAAAGGTAATAAAATGAATATTAAAATTCATTGATTTATTGATTTTGCTAATAAAATAAAATATATTTAAGTTAACTTTTATTTTTGGGGTATTATCATTTAAAATTATTTACTTTTGTATTATTAATTTATCACTTGTGGCCATGTGCGATATCACAGCGAAGGAATAGGGGCATAATCCACCAATTATACAAATAAATACATCTAATAAATGAATTTTGGAGAGGATAGTAAAATATTTGTTATTTTTATATTTCCTCCCAATACAAAACCCTAAGAACGCCCCATTTTGTGTGACAAATATTATTTAAAATTATAAATATTAATATAAAACTAAATATTTTATTTGAAAATCCACAAAAATTATTAAAAAAAAGCGTATATGTATTTTGTGAAGAATTTTACCACTAAACATTTACTGACACACTGAACGAAAAATATTCATTCTAATAAAATACTAGGAAAATGACCTTGCCCTAGTTTATAAATTAGCTCCTTCAAACATTTAGAACATATAATTTATGATTTTATAAAGTTATTTTTTTGGGTGGGTGAACTAAATTACTATTTTCAATTTATCGCAATTATTTTTAATGCGATTATGGAGCTACCTTTTCGGAAGGGCCTATCCTGTAAGAGATCCTTGGGACTTAGTTTGGCTCTGGCTACAACCTATGGCTGACACAGTTACAATTTTTGTATACAGGGTGGCCCACCACTCACTGACAACTTAAATAACTTTTGATCCAGTTAATATTTTTAGCTGATTTTTTTTNCAACTTACATATGAACGACTATTTTGGGAAGGCGTTTTGGACTTCTTTTAAATATTATTAACTGATATAAATATAATATGGTATTATATTAGTATTAACTAATAAAATATTTACGATTAAATTTCCAGTCAACATATAAAATCCTATTTTTACCAACGGGTAGGTTTCTCAATAAAATTGATAAAACTGTATTTTTTTATTTTAAAATTATTTAATATTAGTAAATAAACTTTTGTGTATAACGTTTTTCTGAGAGTCGTTTTGAAAAATATTTGTTGCTAATGAATTAAACAAGTAAAAAAAAAATAATAGAAATTAATAAAATTGGTTATTGTATCTGTGATGATTTGTGGTTCATATAATCATAAAATGAAGGTAGATAATATTGTAAAATGTTTGTATTACCTTTTAATTTGAATAAATTATTGGTCGTATTTTTATAATATGACAGATTTTTTTATACTATGCAGACAACTGTATCTATCTATCTCATTCAATTTTAAAACTGTACACTATTAGAAATAGATGGATTAGGAAATTTAGCTCGTTTAAAATTAAAAAAATTATATGAGCTTATTGTTATACATAAAACATATTTTATAGTGAGGAAAAATATTAGAAAATATATCATTAACCCCCTAATTTATTTTATATTTTCTTCGATGAAATTTTGTACCATTTATTATTGTTTATCATA